TTTTTTAAGTTTGGAGAAATGTATCTTTATAGTAACCATCAGTTATGATATAAACTAATGTTAATGTTAACTCTTAAAAACTTCAAATTTTGTACATAATAATAACTATAGTTGAAAGAGATGTTAACTTGTCTGGGACTAAATGACTCCTTTTTCTGTGTAGAAATTCTAATTTTACTGTAGGATATTTTAAGGACATAAATATCAGAAATGTACTGCTTTATGGAAGAAATTGTGTAACTAAGCTTTAATAGCTAAATCCATTAATGGAACATTGATACAAAGATTTTTTTTTTTATATTTTTATTTTATGAAAAGCTAAAATAAAATTTCATTACAAAATAATGGTTAGTACAGTGTTATCATTATCTTCAAAGTAGTTACTCAGAGTACAAGACATAGACAAAATGATTCTGTCTTACGATGAAGAGGCAAACCAATAATAGCACAAAACTTCCTTTTCAATGAACTAAAAGAAACTAATAGTGTAAATGAAACAAGTTAACATATATATTAAAATGTATTTGAAACCATACAATAGGTAATTTGGGGATTTACTTGAACTTCTATGTCCTATCTATCTTTCTATCTTTCTATCTTTCTATCTTTCTATCTATCTGTATCTCTATTTGAGTTTCTCAAAAGAAACCATGCAGAGCCAGGCACATATTTAATCTCAGTACTACTCGGGAGGCTAGGGCAGGAGGATCATTGCAAGTCTGAGATCAACCTGGGCTACAAAGTGAGCTCAAGGCTGGCACTGAACTCCATAGCTAGACCCTGTCTCAAAAGGAGAAAAAAAAAGAAACCATGCAATATTTGATCTTGTGTGCATGAATTATTTCATTTAACATTGTGTTCTCAAGATGCATCCACTTACCTATATATACCTCATTTTTACTGTTTTTAACTTTTGTTTTATTTTATTTTTTAATGTGTTCGGTACATGGTCTACAGGGACTCACTATGTAGATTGTACTTGTAGTGATTCTCCAGTTTTCAGACTCCCAAGCACTGGGATTATAGGCACATGCCAGTCTCAATAGCTGTCTCAGTGCGCCTCGTGGGCAGGGCCTGCATGGCAAGCCAGGGATTGAATGCTGGTCTCTGTGCTCTGCATAAGCAGGTGCTTTAGTCTGCTGAGATATCTGGCTATCCCTTAATTTTTATTTTAAAGAGAATAAAATAATAAAAATCCATTAGAAACAATATATAATTTCAAAATAAGGTGATAAGAATTAAACACTGGTTGTTACATTCAAGTCAGCAACTTCTAACATTGCCAGTCTTATGGAAAATCCACTACTTTTATGGACTACTGGAGTATATTGGAATATTTTGCTGAATTCACACACCTATAATAATTAAATGACAATGGAATACCCATCTCTGACAAACTAAACAAAAAAAGAAGATACAAATAAAGGACCATTTTGTATCTGTATATTCAAAATAGGATATATATGCAGGTACTTTCTCTTAATTCAGTGAATAGAAAGATTTGTACAAATAGTGTTTGTGAACAGAATATCATGTCTGCATCTTGTACTATAAATAACCACTAAAAGACAATAATATGTAATGAATTAGTTATTGAAACTGTCCTACTAATTGGTTTTGAAACTGCCTCATTGCTATTTGTTTCTCAATAAAATTATTTAAAAAAAATAAAATTCAAAAAAAAGAATAATTGGGCTGGGGATATAGCTCAGTAGGATAAGTGTTTGCCTGGCAAGCACAAAGTCCTGAGTTCAAATCTCTGGTACTGAAGAAAAAAAAAAGAATGATAAACTTTCAAAATTGGTCAGACTTAAGCATTAACCGTTCTTTTAAATAAACCAATAGAAAGTACAATTAGCACTACAGTTATCTTAGTTATATATATTTGGTAAT